GCGGGGGTCTTTCTGGGGGAGCCCAAGGACGGGCGGACAGGCTGGCCCCGCAGCAGGAGCCGGCTATCCCGTCTGCCGGGGGTTCCTCAAGGCCCCCTTCGGAAGCAGGGAGCGGGCGGGGGGCGGGTGGGAAGTCAGTCCTAGAAAAAGAGGAGGGGGTGTGCTGAAGGGGAAGGGGCTTTTTTGCTGAAGGAGGCGGTCGTGGGCGCATACAGTCAAGGTGGCCTGGGAGAAGGCTGGACAGGCTGGCCTCCACAGCAAATCCAAGCCCAGGACCCCCACCCTCCCCTCTCCTACAGGGCCCCCTCAGGTCTGATATGTTGGCAAAGGAAACCCACTGGGTCAACCCAGGTGAGCGAAGGGGTTCCGCAGCCTGAGGTGGGGCAGGAGGCCTTGGGGGGGGGGGGCAGAGAGGGCCTCAGAAAAATTTGTCGTCAATTCTGAAATGGGGCCGCGTGACGTCGTCGGGGTTGATGAAGACCGAAATGGACTTCCCTGGGTTCTCAGTCACCAGCTGCTGCAGCTTTTTGGCCAGCCGGTCGTCGGGCTGGTTGGGGTCCCCGCCGTCCGACTGGGGCGAGGGGATGCTGGTGGCGCTGCCCCTCCGCTGGAGCTCCAGCGTCAGCCGGTTGGCGGCCTTGACGTGCTCGATGGCCATCTGGAGGTGCTCGGCGGGATCGGAGCGCACCGAGGAGAGCTTCCGGGCGTGGAGCATGACCGTCTCCTCCGAGAGGTGCTCCAGCATGTTGCACTGGGGGATGAAGTAGTTGGGGCAGGTCTTGTTCACCAGGCAGTGCTGGAGGTCATCGATCAGGCCCAGTAGGAAGTGGGCGGCGTAATCCTCCTGCAGCAGGTAGCTGGCGGGCAGCCGGTCGCAGGCCCAGAGCATGACGCTGCGCAGGTGGTAGGGGCTGACCGCCTTGGGGCGCGAGAGCAGCTTGATGATGATGGCCTTGCAGGCCTGGTAGGCTTGCATGAGGCTGCCGGAGATGCACTTCTTCAGCTGCACCTCGCTGCGGGCGAAGGACAGGCGCCACTCGTTCTCCTTGCGGCCCTTGTAGGAGCACGCAGGGACCAGGTAGAAGCCGCTGATGACCTCCTCCTCCGTGATCTTCCCGTCCCAGAAGTGGTTCTCCATCAGCCAGCTCTGGGCCACGGCCGGCCAGCCCTTGAAGGACACCACGGGGACGATGTCATACAGCATGCGGCTGCTGCCCACCCCCAGGATGATGGAGATGAGGGTGCCGTTCTTCTCCACCTTCTCCACTTTGGGCATCCCCCGCTGGGGCTTCTTCTGGATCTCGGAGAGGACCACGCTGATGGACTCATAGAACCAGTCAGCCACCCGGGTGGGGGAGAAGAAGTAGTTGGTGGCCCCGTTGAGGTGGTCCATGATGGTGCAGCAGTCCTTCCACTTGCTGATGGTCCCTTCGTCAAAGAGCCGCAAGCTCAGCCAGGAATGGCACAAGGCGGAGTGGCGCATGTCCAGGGTGACCGGCTGGTTTCGGTCGTGCAGCTTCAGGGCGGGCACAAGCAGGGTGAAGTCCATGTCGTAGTCAGTGCCACGAGCGTAGAAGTTCAGGTCGTCCAGATCAAGGTCCACCACGCCTTCTCGGACCCCTCCAGAAAGCAGCAAGTACTCATTGGCGACTGGAAGTTTTTGGTCAAGTTTCTGTACCATGCCTGGAAGGAAGAGAGAAAGCGGTTGAGCCAAGGGCTTGGGTAAAGAGGGGGCTACAGAGCCTGCCCCCAAACAAGGGGACAGGTGGGCTTTCCCCCCCCCCCCAAGTGGAAGTAGTGTTGGGACCGAAAGCAAGAGGGACGACACGGGGCGATTCTTCCAAGCTGGGCCTTTGATTGTTTAACTCCTGCAGACGGAATCTTGCCGGACTCTGTTGTTCTCTTCTACTTTCTGCATCTACCATCTACTCCAGGAACGATTAGGGAGTAGGGAATTGGGATGGCCATAAGAACGGGTGTTGGATGTTTGGATGTTTATTATACTTGTATGCCGCCCTATTCCCGAGGGACTCAGGGCTAACAAACAAGTGGGGAAGGGGGAAATACAAAAAACAAACAAGACAGAAACAAGATACACAAAGTAGAAAGTAGAAAGTAGAA